TATTTATTCTTCTTGTTCTCGGTCTCACCTTACTGCAGGATTTTTGATCGTAAGACACTATAAGCGTCGTTACTGTAATTTTGAAGGTAAACTAAGTTGGTAACCGATAGGAGATAAGTCACTTGAAAGCACAGAGGACTAATGAGATTTAGACCCCGAGATATAGTCAAATTAAATGTTGGAAGAAGCCATCATGACAAGACACTTGCACCCTTTCACTTTTTCTATGTTCCACCTGTTTTACCTTTATTACTCTTGAAGGACTGGGGTGTGCGATAGACTTACCTCCACGTGGTGCACCGTGGGCAACGTATACGGCAAAAAAGTCTATTAACTGGCAGTTGACTTCTCACTTCAAACTACCATCACCTCACTCTATGCCATATTTGAAGCACAATTCTGCCCCCCCTCCCCCCTCTCGACTTTTTTTCCACTTTGATTTTCCTTCCCCTCTGTGAAGCCTAAAGACAACTAAAGGGCTAGTGATAACCATCAAGACGCCAACCATGCGATATAAATAAATAACTCTTGAAGGACTTTGTGCCATTTCACTCAATCTTGCTTCGTTTATCGAATGTTTTGAACTAGTCTTTCTTCAATGCTTGTGAATTAACCTCGAAATATGCGTTCAGTCAGGTAGTTGGGTCCTATCAAGTATTTAGCTGGGATATAGTCAACGGTCCTACGGTGTTTCTACCTTCAGGAATTAACCACGAGAACGCGATCTGCATCGAGCTACAGCTCCAACTTGTGCCCGTTGACAATTCCATGCCCATTTTCTTTGCTCCCATCCCAGCTTTTGAGCTATTTAACGATTCCCACCAGTTACGTATTAGCTACAGTTCTACCTTAACGGCTAAAAGGCTAATAACTTATGCTCTCCCTCAGTGCAAACCGCTGCCACCATCACCATCCTTTCCAATCAGCAGTTAAACCAGAGTCCCCTACCCTCGTACAAAGGCAATAACGGCATAAGTCAATGAAAATATGAGCATAGTCAACTGTATATTAATTTAATAATTTAAAGCAGGAAATGAGGCAATATGAATTCTCGAGTAATGCTAGGGTCAAAAGAGATGGGGGAATGAATTCAGAAGAGGTTTGGAGGGAGGGAGGGGGGTGGGGGAAGGATGGGAGACGAATAAACGTGGCTGCTTTTCGTTTCACATTCATTGTCTTCTGCTCTAAAAACAGCAAATCATCTGGTTGGAGTTCTTTTTATTTATCACCTTTCGAGGATAAATTAGGTAGGTTCCTTTATTATCCGCACACATTATCCCACCACAAAATCTGTTTGTCCTCGAGGTCGCTAGGCACTCACTCAAAGATGTATCATCGATTGGTTGAATTATATTAATAGTCCTCTTCTTTCTCTCTTTCACGGTGTGATCAATCCGTTGACTACAGATACTTTGTTGAACACGTTGAAGCCAATAAATACGCGAATACTTCCTGTCTAGAAGCATAATCCGTTCATCGGTGGTGCAGATTATATGTGAGGGTATTATATTAAACATTACACTCGGAGTAAATTGGGTAAAGGTATCGGTGGTGAGATCAAGAATGAATACTTTATCGTCTAACGGACAGCTAGCCCAGACCTCCTTTTCCTGTCTGGCGATACAGAGATAGGAAGGAGAGAGCTGAGGATCATTTAAGAACCATTCCCTTTCAACATTTTTCAGATCATCCTGATTGAGCCTGCATACCATGGCGTTAGCGCAGAGAGCAACATAGACTGATCCAGTTACCCGATCAATATCTAAACCAGCAATAGTTGGTCGATCCGGCTGGGTCATACCAACTGAGTCTCGAAGAAAAATACTCGACATATCGATTATATTGAGTTTATGTTTAGCGGAATCATTGCCATTCAACTCATCAGCGGTAAATTTGTGGTTTGGATCTGGGAGGGTACAACAGATCACTAAACCAGGATCGATGAGATCGGACGAAATTTGAGTATCACCAGAGTTGGTCAAGTTCTCGCTAGGTTGTTGGATAATCACGGACATGTAGACGCGATTCTTGAAGAATCGTAAATACTGTACCTCCAGTTTTCCCATATTGACAAGATCATCAATATTCCAGTATTGTTTGACAAGAGTCTCGGAGTTTTTATCCGAATGCTTACCCAAATTAGCACCCAAAGTGAAGCTTTCACGACCAGGGTGGATAGGAATACGCTTTCTCCACAAATGAATTTGCCCCGTGTTGCTTGCAGGCCAAATTGTGTATTGAGTAACGTGGGTTTTAAGCTGATTGGGAAGTATATGCATTCCAACACATTGGGTTCCTTCCTTAGGTACTCCATCACACTGGCCCAAATTCTTCCGAAGGCAAACATAGTCTGAATTTCGCATCATAAACGTACGTGCCGTTAGAAGTTCGCGATAATTAGCATAACTAGATCTTTCAGATTCATTTCTATCGCCAAGAACTTGATTGACGGATGATTTAAAGCGTCCATTGCTGCACCGGCGCACTGAACCGTTAGGTTGACGTTTTGGAGAGGGAATATTTTTTGAAATTGTTGGAGTAGACGACGGTTCTGGTGGTGCAGAGGGTTCAACTAATTCCGGTTCTGGAATGTCTAACTGATTTGAAGTATCTTTGCACTGCACATCAGTCCCCCTTTTCTCGGTTTCTTCTTTTTGGGACTCCGCTATTTTTTGTGCCCCATGGAGAACCTGAGCCAAGTTTAACATGGTGTTATTTGCACCTCGTTTAATGGCTTTAATGTCCGCTACAAGACCGTTCAAAGCGTCGGAGGTAACAGTCATGGAGGTATGTCTACGACCGGCGGATGGAGAACTGTGAAAACTACTCCGTGATGAACTTGGACCACCACTAACATTTCCAGAATCAGTTGGGTCAACCAAGAAGGCCTTACTTCGAATATACTCCAAGATCAAGCTATGATTAAATGATTTGGGATAATCTCGGGCTGTAGTTGACTCGGGAATGTTGTGTAAGGCTCTGCATATCGGACAGGGGAGTTGAGGACGCACGGCTGGAACTCCGTGTTTATCCGGTGGGCGGGCAAGAATCTGGCGAATATAAGAGTCAAGACAATGGCGGCAGAATACATGACCACAAGGCAAGAGACGCGGGTCTTCAAAGAAATTCAGATCGATCGGGCATGTTACCATCTCCTCCAATGGCTTGAGATTCATCACTTTCACTCGCGATGAAGTCTTGGCCTAATAGTACAAAAGTAATTACCACTTAATAATAATAATAAGTACTGTCAGACGGAAACATTATCTGTATAGAATAGATCTGTCAGAACCAAGATTGACTAAGTACCACTTCCTTTTATTTTAGCACAGTTAGCAGGGTTACTTCTATTAAAATAAGCCAACCCCTAGACCATGCTCAAAAGTTTGATTCTGGCCAAATGGTCAATAGGACTGGATTTTATTTGCATGCACACGCTGCAATGTATAATCAAGCGCACACAACGCGCGCAAGCCAATACGTCAGCGCGGAAATTCGAACACGTTCCGCACCAAGGTTGATGTGCCCGCGTAAAAATAGACTACTCAACCTGCGGACCTGCGCTACAGGCATGCTTATTCACGAAACGGGCCCCGTAATCAAAGAAGCGAATGCTGCCCGGGGCAACCACTAGTCTGATAGTCACTAAGACATTGATAGAGTAGCAATTTGGCCCTGTGCGTGAAAAAAAACATTTATGCAGCTAATCGATTTCCGCAAAGTGGGATTTAAGGTCAGGTACACTAAATGTCAAGGTAAAATTTAATTCTAAAAACTTAAAATTGAGGGAAGAATTAAGTCACAAGATTTCACCAGAAAGAATTTACTCACACACACTCCACAATATAAACGGACCGAAATTAGGTATGTAGGTCAAAGTCTAAGTATCAACCACGATCCTTCCCCGACTTGTTCAATGCACGTGGTACAGGAATGGGGGTCCTGTTCCAAATTAAGAATAAAGCCAGGAAAAAAGTGTTTGTGACAATAAAATAACTCAAACGGCTTACAAAATATAACGCATATAAAATTCCGTTAGTGTCAAATAAATAGAACGAAAAATTGGCATCTCTGTACGCAATTGCAATCGGACATTAGTCAAGAGATTCCAAATAGGTTATTGTCTATAGGTTACTCGAAAGTAAATGATTTAACAATACTATGGTCAAATTAAGGAAATGGTAGGTAATTTTGAAGAAGGAAACGTAACCACGAGATTCGATCGGAAAAAAAGGAAAGAAACCGCCAAGTTGAGCTGAAAATAAGAGCAATAAGTAAGAATCCCAGATTATATCCATATCCTACCCATATAATTTTTTTATCTTTGTCACCACGTACAATAAGCAAACTCCACTCTATTTTCAAACTTCAAATAATCATTTATTGATCAGTAGATTCCAATTAAAGGCTAAGACCAAACTAATTGGTACATAAAATCATAGATTAACGAATAAAGCCATTTCGTTACAAGTTACATTAGAGGAACAAATTTTTGTAGATGAGCAAATAATGGAACCATGTAAGTACGTCATAGACAACAACATCACTATAAATTTGAAAAAAATCCTGGAATGTATTTCCATGCCAAGGGTAAAATTGTACCTGAGGTCAACAGAAACGTGCACTAATAGGCCAATCAGGTTGGACTATATCGATTCTGAGGAAGAATATTGATGGCCTGCCAACTTAAGACAAATCAATCGGAATTCGAAACGCTTAATTCAAAACGGGAAGTCTCGAAATATACTTAACTCGGCACAGTGACAATCTAAGTTATCATTAGGTAAAAATCCATACTTGACACAAATAATGGCCGAATATTTTGAAAACCATCGAATCAACCAACTTTTTTCCTCAATTACATAAAGCGTTTAGGAGGAAATGGTCAAATTTCAAGACAAAATAGAAAAACAAATGAAGAAAAGCTTCTACATATTCTTGCTTTTACCAAAAAGAATCAGTCGGTAAAATCAGAGATTATGAAGTGACCAAACCTTACTTAGGAAACAACCTCTTTAATAGGGTGCACAAATTAGTTTGCAAAAAATTAAGCAGATTAAAAGAAGCACATGACACCCATTGGTCAATCTGTTAATCCTACTGCTTCTAATTGCTATTAGAAAGGGCGTTCGGGGAAAATTTTCAACAAAAACTTATAGGAGGATTGGGCGAAACAAAGGCCTTATACAACACATCTGAACTCGAGCATTGATAAAAGCAAACAACTCAAGAGTAGCGTTATAAATCTGTTTAAAATCGAGATAAAGAACTCGTGAACTTACAGAACATTTAGCTCCAGAAAGATTTACATGAGAAGAACCTCGTCTGGGATTTCGGAAACTAAGATTAGCCGCTGATAATCGGGAACACGATCCCCCATAGGTCGCCATTAATGCTGTTTAAAACTTGAATATGCCTTAGTAATTATACTCTCCACTTGTAGATTTGTTGGGTAGTAGAGGTGAAAATATCCCTTATAAAGCAAACCCCTTATGGTACAACGCCAGATCTCTACCAACTAAAGCCGACCAATGCGGTCAGAGTGAAACTGCCAATGCTTGCGCGCAATACCATTCGCAATAACCGTTGGCGAACCAGAAGCCAGTTTGACACTCGAGAGACACTGATTGGTTAGTCCATTTTCATTTCTCTTCCAGTCGGCCAATTGGTAGGGCGTTAACTAACCAATCCTCTTGAGAGATCCTCCTATTTTGACCTTGCCCTAGATTCCTTAGTACGTATGAAAACTCAAACCCTTGACTCGCGAGGTGTTTCGATGTCTTTGTTCACCGGAATTGATTAAATGCTGTCTTTCCGAAGGGCCGGCAGTTACAATGATAATATTGTTTGCACGAAATTTGTTTTTAACAACTTATTTCGTTTAAATCCGACTTTATTTGACAGCTTATTTGTGTAAATATCTAAAAACATGAAATCTATTCTTGTCGGTATTATTTACTTAGACTAGGACAAGATCAACTTAAATTGTTCGAAAATTCAAAGTCGGGCCAGAGGCCCTGCTTAATTCTGTGCATAAAGCGAATTAAACGGTTTCCCTAGGGTATGATCTTGATTACTCCTTCAATCGTCAGGGGAATGGAACACATCCGGATGAATATATTTTTAATAGGACTTCGCTCTGAAAGGCTGGGGAATTATAATAAACCTTAGGGCAAATAGTTCTCAATTTCCAATTCTTAGTATTTATGGCTGAATGTAAGGCAGAACCCATAATATTATGTTGGATGAGACCTGAAATTAAAATTAGTGTTAAATTGAATGTAGTGGCAGTTATACCATAAAAATAGGAATTACTTCATTACTTCCAAACCTTTTCCTCGTCAATACATTTGCAAGTACTATGAAAATAAGAGAATATTAATCCCTCTAAACTAATAACTTTGACACTGAATTTCGTTTTCAAATAACGCATTTGTTGTACAGACGAGGACGAAAGGTGAATCGATTTCAATTAAAACGCAGTCCAGATTAGAGTAACAACAAGTAGCAAGACTTTCTTTGTTCTTAATTAGTCATAGACTTAATATCAGATACGTCAGCACTGAAAAAGCATGTAACTGGCCAATAGCGGCACGAACATGTGATGCAAGCCCAATAATGGTTTCACGCGGGCAAATGGGCTCCGGTTAGATACCGTCAGATGTGATGCGCGGTAGATATTTAGCCAAAGGAACAAAGAGACACATCTGGTACTTCCTTGCTCTTTCCCACCTTCCTATCTACTTAAGTACTTTAATAGCCTTTAGCAAGTGCATGAGATTAAATCAAGATAAAACAGAGCAAAAAATGGACAGTTAAAATTCGTCAAAGAAACAAGGTTTACATTTGAGCTGAGATTTTTGCGTGAAATAATACAAGTATCTATTGCACTGTCAATGTGAAAAAGCTAAATGAAAGGCTATAAACATACTCCATTTCTTAACTGTGGATTTTAATGAACTTTTGATTGCTCTTTCTGTCTCAGTAGGATAAGAAGGCGGATACCGGAGAAATGAAAGCATTATTACGATATCGGAATCGCACATGAAGCCTCAAATGGTTTCGATTATTTAGGTCTGAAGAGTGACTTCATTTTTTACCAGATAAGGACCTTGTTATGTAAAATTGCAAATGAATTCATCCAAAAATGGGAATTTCCAAAAGAGTAAACAGTCCAACCTTGTGCAGTATTTCTTCTGCATTTTATAAGACTTCTCATTGTAGCGTTATGGAGAATATGCGGAAAAAATGACGAAAATCAATGAAATTCATTCTTGAATTCCATTATTGTCAGCGAAATAAGTATATTTATGACTTTAAATGGGTTATTTCCTATTCGAGTTTTAATTATTTATGCAAAACAGCTTTTAATTTGACTTGGGATTGAATCCTCTAATTCGGTATTACTAAATGTAAATTTTGAAACTCTCATGATTTTTTTGAATTTTTAGAATCACCGATTACTCATTTTATTTTAGTTTCTGTGTCACAAAAGACGTTTATTAAATTCAGTTTTAACAGTAAGTTAGATTAAAGGCTAGTGAAAATCTGAATAAATAATGAAAATGTACCAAATCGAAGAAAAACAATATTTACAATTCACAACAAATTCCTGGCCAGAACAAATACTCGAGTCAAGCTAAAATTTAAGATAATGACGCTTCTCACATGACTTCTCTAAGGCGTAGATAAATATTAATCGATAGATCAATACGAATGAAACATGCTTGCGCCAAGAAAAACAGAGCTAATGGATCATAATTTGATTCGATGTAATCCTGACTGGGAATTATATTACGATTAAAAGACTTCAAAACTTTAAGATCCTTGAGAGAAACATACATCATATTTTATTTGCTTTTCATCACTGCCACTTTCAGTTAGCAGACGTATTTTTGCCGTGACCATTTTAAAAAAATAAAGAAACAGGCTAATTTCCATTTGAGCTGAAGTGAGAAAGCAGCAACAAATAATAATTATCGAAAAATATTTAGATGATAATGATATTCCTTGCATTAGAGAGAAGTTACACTTTCAGCTGTTAGACTAGTAAGGAAAATAGATGAGGTAACGTGTGCATTTCAGGCGTATTTTCCATCTATCCCAAAGTACATTTCTTCTGTTAGTCGAAGGTTATTTAGGCTACCGTTATCCAATCAAATCACGCAATATTTTAAATCTGGCAAGAATTCATTGGGGACTTGAAAGGTAAATAACACAGAAAATATATATCGAACTTTATTGAATGTTTTATGCCATTTTGTGAGAAAAACAGTTGCCTCCTTTGCGTATTTAAGTAATAAGAATTTGAAAACAAGATGACGGCTTTGAAGCTAATAATACCCTATAAATTAAGGTTTCAGATAAGTGAGGGAAATCCTCACGTTTCGAAATGACCATATTAGAAATCAACAACAAAGCTTTTATGACAGGTATTAATTTATGTTTTAATATTTGAAATAAAGACCTTATCAAAGGTATAACGAGGGAAACATATAATTGGTTTGCGAAATGTAATTTTTTGAAAAGGTAGACTTTTAAAAAATTTTGAATCTCCATTCCATTTTAATGCATCGTGTAAAAGATAAATTTTAGAGATAAGGTTCCGTATTTTGCTGGTCGCGTACATCTATCTCTTATGTGTGAAATGCTTAAAAATGTCGAATACCTACTCGAAGTCAAATGGTATGCTATATCTATTTTTCGATCTTAAAAGTTATATGGTTAGTAGTATTACGATTTTGTAAGAAATGAGGTTTAATTTCAATGAGTGAAGACGATAAAAAGTAAAGAAAAGCTGCGGCTTCCTCTCTAAGGGGGTAGTTCAATGAAACCATTAAGGGAAAAAGTGATAAACCCAGACATATCAAGACAATTATGAATTTTACTTCTTTGAATTTCCTAATTTAGCTAGATAATTAAAGTACAGTTAGAGTACATGTTAGCAAAGGAAAATAAAAGGTGAATGGAGAATGATCACTTATACATTTACGGGATGAAAATGATATGCTTCATGGAATATTGATTCGAGCAGTCAAATGATCTGCTCTACTCCACTAACCTGCTTTCTAGATGAATATTCCTTACTAAACGGATTTTCTTGATAATTATATTAAAAAAATTTCATTTACAACTGTACAGTTCCCACTTTCTTAAAATTCAGTAAAAATGATACAAAAAAGTTAATATTTACATGTCATTCAAACTCCAAAAAGTTTCCTTAAGTTATCATCTTTATTTTGGATAACAAAAGCTGAACGGCCCTTTTGCGGATATAAATAACATTTTAAGTATGGAAGTCGACGGTTTTATTTTCTCAGTAAGTAACTTTCTCTCCATATTTTCAATTTTCTTATGAAGAAGGCCAGAAATTCAAATAACGCTGGAGTTTTGTTAAAAATTCCAATGAAATGCCTCGCAGTCGAAATATCAGACGGGGTGTTTCCGTGTCTTAAAGTTGTTAAACAAAGCCCCATTCCCGGACGCTTTGTCACAAATTCCAAATTTGCAAAGACTTGGCAGCAAATACATATCTACAAACATCTAACTGGAGGTGGGGG